GCACCTCACCAGCGCCCTCGTGGCACCTCCGCCAAAATAGGTATCCCGCAGCGTGACAACGGTCTGCCCGCTCTCCCGGCCCGACAAGCCACGAGCCCACCCACTTTCTCGCACCCCTGCCACTGGCACCTGTGGCTGACGGAGTGACTGATAAGCACCCATGCCACTCCCGACATTTTCATTATCGGCGCACGGTAAAAGCGCCGTTTTTCTCCTTCCTTGCTCCCACATTACGTTCCACGTATAAGCTTTTCTGCCCCTGCTTGCCCGGCGCGCCCTAGTTGAACTAGATGTCGTAACAGCAATAAGTGGCGCATGCCGTGCCCCCCTTTGTGTGCCGACCTGCCGGCCGCAGCTGACGGAAGGGAACTAATAATACACGTGTAGTGCAGGACGAGGCCGAGAACCGGAACTGCAAGGTTTCCGAAAGCAAACGCATACAATTGGCCACTGAATCTGATATTAACAAAAGCATTGCCAGCTTTGACAGTGGGCGAGGGGCTCTACATCACCACGAGCTGCGGCGTATAGACCCCCCGCACACCAGGAGACTGTGATATAGACTGCAAGCCAGCTCAACTTTCAAACTACATGATTAGCCTACAATAATCAAGCAACCAAACTTGGAAGATTTGCTCAGATGCGAGCAAAAAAAGTATGGAAGCCACATGAAGCTAAAATGTCCAGTATAGGCTTGAATTCTTCCAAGGGCTTAGAAAGGTTTCCGCGACGATGTGCCTCAGCCTTGCAATTTGCCTCTCCTGGAGTGCCTCATCAACTACAGTCTTGAAACACGCATATAGATCCTTGTCGACGTTCAAACGGAAATGGTTTGTAACCCTGCAGAAATATGCCACACGGCCGATCAAAAGTCACCTAACCAAGCTGAACCTAATCGGGGCGCCAATCTCATCGTCCCATTTCGCCAACCACGAGAATCCAGTGAGTTTGAAAAGTCACATGCTGTTCAACAGAGATCTTGCCTGCCAGATTCATGGGTGGCGCCCCATTCTGGATCTCTAGTCGCTGTAAACACTTCTGTAGTAGAGCACCATCATCGAACTTGGTCTTGAGCAATTGATCCAGCATAGCCGTGTCGGACGACCCGCCTTCACGCAGGTAGTATGTAACAGCAGCACACCAATACGTTCTAGCCAACGTTCTATTCCAAGTCGTAGAACACGCTACGGTCGCCAGTTTGGCTCTCCCCATCTGAGCGATCAAGACTTCAGGTTTCGGCTTGTTCCAACAGCAAGACTTGCAAGTTGACGCAATTAATCATGTAAATCCTTCTTCACATTAACAGTTTGTAACGAAACTCCATACTCATCATCTAATCCATGTCCACATGTCCATATGTTCCTTTTTGTTCCCACACCATGCCGCTCCCGAAGTACAAAGAAAGTCGAACCCCTCCCCATAATGCCTATCCCCTGCCCTGATATCCATGCACCACTACCAATCAACCCATGCTGCTCGAATCGTAACCACCCAACGCGCACGCAATACACACTCATGTTATTGTCGTAGCAATTTTCAACGACGAGAAAAACAGAAATCCCCAAATTGGGGCATGTAAAGAGCGCAAAATGAAAGAAGTGAAAAGAGAAAGAAAGAAGCGCACTGAAATGAGACTAAAATATTCTAATACCAAAAAAAAAGGGAGACAGACATCGCAATGACGCGAAAAGGATACTGAATAGCAGGGCCAGCCTAGCCACTCACTTCCCAGGCAAAACAAAGAAGCGAAGATTTCGGAAGCAACTGGAGCCATCATCGCAAATACTTCCACTCTGGCGGGTAGCACGGGCAATACGGATTCCGGCACGGTACCACCATGGGCTCGCTCTAGAGCATCGTGCCAAAGGCGTCGTCGGTGGGAATCCTCTTGCGCGGGCTGCTGGCGCCATCCTCGCCCGTCGCGGGCTTGCGGTGTCGAAACGTGAAGCCGACAAAGAGGCTCTTGCTCATCTCGTCATCGCGGTCCGCCATCGTCTCGAGAGCCTGCTGCTTCTCGTGCACTTCCTTGTACTTGGCCATGTCGGCCTCGTTGCCAAAGTCGTCAAAGTAGCCCGCGTCCGTCTCCGAGTCCAGCTCCGGCACAAACGGCGCGCGCGTCTGGCGCAGCGTGGCCCAGTCTACCTCGGCAAAGTACTGGTGGTTGTAAATATCCTGAATATTGCTGAAACGACGCATGCGCGAGTTGATGCAGCTGCAAACATGGTTAGCAAACGGGTCAGTGAGGCATGGAGAAGGGGAGGAGCTTCAGGTATACATACGTAGTGATAAAGTTCCATGTGCGGTTGCTCAGGAAGTACGTGGGATCCTCCCAAACAGGACGCTTCAAGACATCCTTCCAGTGCTTCAAGTTGCGCCACGTCTCCTCAGGAGTGGCACCAGCAAATGGCGGAAAACCAGTGAGTGCCTCAAACAGCATGCATCCCAGACTCCAGTAGTCTACTGTCGAGTCGTATTCTTCCCCTCTAAGGACCTCGGGAGCCATATAATCGGGCGAGCCAACAATCGACTTGGCATAGTTGACGTCGTTCTCGCGCATGTTTCTGTAGCTTTCACGACGCTCCGAAACAGTGCGCTGCTCAATGGGCTTGCCAAAAGGCACCGACGTCTCAGAAGCCTCCTCCAGCTTGACACGCATGGACTCGATGCGCGATGGGGCAAGGAAACCGGCGGCCAGACCAAAGTCGGTGAGCTTCACATGGCCAGTGGAGTCGATGAGGAAGTTCTCGGGCTTCAAGTCTCGGTGAATGTAACCGAGCTGATGCAGGGCGTCAATGGAGCAAAACATTTCGGCAATGTAGAATCGGGCATGGCGATTGGACAAGACACCCGTGTTGTTAAGCAAAGTGCGGAAATCGCCGCCCGGCACGTATTCCATGGCAAGATAGATACTCCTGTCATCTTGGAAAGAGTAGAGCAGTCGCACAAGCCACTCGCTGGACGCAGTCGTGAGAATATCACGTTCGGTGAGGACGTGGCGCACCTCATCGAGCTTAAACAGCAGCTTCTTGCTCATGACTTTGAGTGCACACACTTCGCGTGTGTCCTTCTTCTGCGCCAGGAATACCTGACCATAGCCACCCTGGCCGACCTGGGTCAGGATCTGGAAATCACCCTGGCGAAGACGGACGCGGCGCTTGCGAAGGTTGGCACGCTCACGACCAGCATATTTGCTCCACATCTGATTGAAAGTCGCATCATCGGTCGCGGGCGGCGCAGGGAACTCGGCGTTGAAAGCAGCGAGGCGGTTTTGTCGGGAGCCGACATAAGTGAGGAGATCAAAGTAATAATCAAGAAAGTCTAGGTTGGATCAGCAAAGTTGCTAAGCTTGATAGCTGGCACAAAACGTACATAGTTGAGTGACATTGACGAGTCGGCGGACGCTTGGTCGTTGCAGAATCTCGCGTTCCTCGGCTGTCAGCCCGCGGGATGTGTTGAACTTTTTGGCTGGTGTGAGGGGGCGCTCTTTGCCCTCGTACGGCTGCTGGCGCGAGAGCGCAGCGTGTGTAGTGTGCTGAACAGGAGGGGTGTTTTCCTGGCCCTGCTTCTTTAGAGGGCTGCCCGGAGTCGGCCCCTTGTGCAGGACGCTATCATCGGCAACAAGACTGCCGTCATCGACAGGCTGGGCGTTGGTCTTGGCTGGCGAGAGCGGTGTGACGACACTCTGGGGACGCGAGAGACGGACTGGTGTGTCTGCGTCGCCAGAGTTAAGGGACATGGCGCTGTCAAAGGCCGTGGGCAAATCATGGGCGCCCGGGGGGTGAGTCTTCTTGCTGGGGCTGCCCTGCGGGGTGTTGAGCGGGTTGAGGAAGTTGTTGTTTGTGTTCTTGGTAGGCGTCACGGGGCGGGCGGCCTCTTGGGCAGCCTTGTCGCGGCCGGACTGGAAAAAGTTGGACATGAAGCTGGCCATGGCTGCTGATTCGTGGCGGAAGTGGTGCTCAAATCAGAGTCAACAAACGCGTGGCCGAGGAGGGCGGGCCGCGAGATGGGCTTCGTTTGCGGAACAGGAGAGCAGCGGGCAGCTGGCAAAGAGGCGCCAAAGCTAACAGAAGCGAGTAGTATGCAGAGAAACAATGTCAGATACAATTCAATGCCAGTGCAGAGCGACAGCAGAATAAATAATGGCTGGAGAGGGCGAGTTTGCAGATGCAGACGCAATGCGGGATGGAGGGCGGTTTTGGCTGGTGCTGGGGCTTGGTGCTGGAGTCTGGGGGCTGCTATTGGGTGGAGCTGCCGCCAGAGTCAACACAGGTCGGAGTCGGTTGGAGCAGCAACACGGGCTGATGGGAGGAGCTCTGAGTGCAGTGGCCGCTGGTAAGTAGTGGGACGAGGGATGGAGATCAGGTCTGGGATATTATTTCACATTCCTTGGGAACAAGAGTTCAAAAGTGCACGGGGATTTTTTTTTTCTTGTTTGTGTACTTCCTCATTAACTGGGCGAGCGTGCATGCGGTGAGGCCTGGTGCAGCAATTGGCTGATGCGGGCAGGATTTGTTTACAGCGAGCTACTGCAGTGACCTCATTGCTGCAAGTAGCTCTATGAGGCCAACAAAAGCTCAGCCACAGAAGGTTCATGGATCAATCCAAAGCAGGGCAGCAGCAATATGCGCGAGGGGCGTTAGGGGGGGGAGAGACTGAAATAACTGCATTTTACATGTTTTACAAAGCGGGCGTCTTCATTTAAACGCATGGCAGCTGTTCGACGAATGTACATCGGTGACACCACCACAAGCCAGCACAGCTAGGTACGGCGGGACACCTACCTACTAACCATACGCAGACTAGCGCATCTGGTATCTTGGCCACGCATCTTTGCCCACAATCCTCTCACCAACGTACACAGTTGACAACTACAGTCGGACTCCTGCGTCGAAATCCACTAGAATGTTGACCAACGGCTCCAGCGTTTTCACGTCTAGCTTCGTTTTCAATCGTCATCGATCATTTTATATACATTGTCCCTTTCTCTCATATCCATCGCCTCATTTCTTCGCCAGATACGCCTCCCACCCAATTTCCTCGAGCTTCCCAGCTTTCACCTCAACCTCGTCGCTCATATTCTTCATGTAACGTCCCATGGCTGCGCTGTACCCTGCATCGCTGCACCCGAGAATCTTGACCGCCAGCAGGCCCGCGTTGGTCGAATTATTGATGCCAACCGTTGCTACGGGGCAGCCCCGCGGCATCTGCACGATGCTGAGCAGCGAGTCCTGACCGTCGAGATGCGTCGCCTTGACCGGCACGCCAATTACCGGTAGCACCGTCTCCGAGGCGAGCATGCCGGGTAGGTGCGCCGCGCCGCCCGCCGCCGCAATTAGCACACGCACGCCCCGCGCCGCCGCTGCCTGGCCTAGCTCGACCATGCGCTGCGGCGTCCGGTGTGCCGACGTGATGGTGTAGTCGTAAGGCACCCCAAACTTTTCCAGCACCTCAAACGCGCCCTTGAGCACGGGCAGGTCCGAGTCCGACCCCATGGTTACGACCACGAGCGGGTTGCTTCGGCTGCGCGAGGACGCGGGCTTGGAGGGGGCCGATGTAGGAGAGGGAGCGTCGGATGGACGCAGCTGTACCGCCGCGCTCGCGATGCGGCCCTCGCGCACGCTGTCCACCTCCTTGGTCAGCGAGCCGGCCAGCTGCTCCAGGCTGGCAATATTGGCCGCCGGCGACGTTACGGTAATGTGGCCAATCTTGCGGCCGGGTTTCGACGCCTTGCCGTACAGGTGAATGTATACGTCCATGTTCGTGTCGTAGCTGCGGCTGGCAATGTCCACTAGCTTGTCGTGAGACTCCGCCTCGGCGCCGCCCAGAATATTGAGCATAATGGCTGACTCGACGCGCGGCTGCAGCGTTACCTTGCCGGGGAAGATGTCGAGAATGGCGCACAGCTGCGCTTTAAATTGCGACATGTAGGGGACGGCCTCGGTGAAGAGGTGGCCCGAGTTGTGCGGTCTGGGGGCTACTTCATTGACCACAATGCCGCCTGCAATGTGTTAGTAGATGCTCCAGTTGAACTTGCTCAGAGCTCGTAGAGACATACCATCCTTGAGGACAAACATTTCCACTGCATAGACACCACGCCCCTTGAGCGTGCGAATCACGTTGCTCGCGACTTTGCACGCTTGCTCGCACGCCTCCGCCTGCACCCCGCGCGGCGGCAAAAACACCTTGGTGCAGATGCTGTCCTCGTGCACCGTCTCGACGGCCGGATACGGGTGCACATCACGCAGATTCCCGTCGTCGTCCTCGGTCCGCACCACCATAACGGAAAGCTCCTTCACGAAAGGCTGGAACTTTTCCGCGTAAAGGGACAGCTTGCCCATGGAGCGGATGGCCTCGTCAAAGTCGGCCGGCCCGCGCACCTGAAAGTTGCCGCGCCCGTCGTAGGAGCCCTTGCGCGCCTTGAGCATGAATGGGAAGCCATACTTGTCACCGACGGCCTGCAGCGCGTCTATCGTGAGCGAGTCGCCCTCGACAGCCATCTGCGGTGCCACGGGGATGCCCTCGCGCAAAAAGTGCTCTTTTTGCAAATATTTATCCTGAATCAGCCGAATCGTCTCCCACGACGGGTGGCAGGGCACCTTTTTCAGCGGCCGCCCTGCGCCGACCGAGACGCCCTTTGTAGCTATCTCCTCGAGCACGTCGGCGTTGACATGCTCAATCTCGACGGTGAGTACGTCGACCCGCGTGGCGAGCTCGCGGATCTTAGCCGGGTCGTTGAAAGAGCCGGCGACATGCTTGGCGTTTTCACAAATTTGCTTCGCGGGCGAGCCGGCGGCGTCGAGAATGGCGAGTTCGACGTTGAGTGGTGAGGCCGCTTCCTGCAGCATGCGACCGAGCTGGCCGCCGCCGAGTAGGCCAATAACTGGATGTTTGGCCATGTTTGAAAAGAGCTGTATCGAGTGTAAGGCGTCGTTCTGGCTCAGGTTGTTGATATGAGCGCTAGTGAGCCAATGCTGCGCACCATTTCGGCTGCGGCTCTTTGATGAAGCTATTTTCAAGCCTGCCGACTAGCAAAAAAATTGGGTAGGGCAAGCGCCGCAATCGGCCGGCCGTCCGTTAAACTTGCGGCTAAGCCGGATCAATGCCGGCCCGTCTGCACACACGCAGCCACCACAGTGCGATGGGGCTCTCGGTTGAAGCACGTGACTTGAGTCCTGGGCGGGGCACGCACGCCAAATCAGTGTGGGAAAACCCTGCCAAATGGCACAAAATAGAGGCCATCCACTTTTCAAACACTTGACGAGAGCGACCTTTTGCCATTTTTCCAAACCACAATTGCTGTCCTTTAAGCCGACAAAACAACACAGCCAAATTTCGTCAAGATGGAAGCTTCCAAGACCCCCGTCAAGCTGGTCAAGGTGACCAAGGTCATTGGCCGCACCGGTACGAATCTCCAATCACCTTTCCGACCATAGGGCCGCCAAATTTTATACACGAGCCGAAACTGTTGCCAAATTCGATTGTCGCTCGCTCGAACGAAACACTTCGCCTGGCGAACCGATTTTCGAAAATGGACTGGAAGGCCTACAATCTCGCATGGAACTGTCGGCTAATTTTTTGTTGTTGGTTAGGTTCTCGTGGTGGTGTCACTCAGGTCCGCGTCGAGTTCATGGACGACTCTACCCGTTCCATTATCCGCAACGTCAAGGGTCCCGGTACGTTTCCTACGAAGCATTTGCACATTCGCGACGAAATTCCGACTACACCCCGAAGCCGCAACATACACACACACACACACACACACACACATGTGCTAACCTCTTGGCTTCCCCCAGTCCGTGAGAACGACATTCTCTGCCTGCTCGAGTCTGAGCGTGAAGCCAGACGTCTGCGATAAACGGTGCCGGTGGATGTATGACGATGACGAAACGCGCGCGAGGATGAACAAGTATAAAAAAAGGGAGCAGGTCGTTCCGGAAATTTTTCTACGCTTTGGTCGACTGAGACCGATCTTTTGGAGTTGCAATTCTGGACAATTGGTGTCTTGACTGAATTAAAACAAAAGGAAAGCAAGGTGTCGATAGCATAACCGGCTGACTGCCCGGTCGGAAATACCAACCTCAGTCATAAACATTTCAAAAAATACGAATCCGATCCCGAGCGCGATACTGTGAGGCATGAGGTGGTGGATGATTGTGCATGGCTGTGTATAACGGCATTCTCTATGGGGGCTCGCAAGTTTCGACCGCCGACAACAGGTCAGAGGATGAGACAGCATAATTCCTGGTGCGATGACGTCTCGTGGACACTACCTACCGTGGCCTAGAATGGTTCCGGCAAGGTCAATAGCGCCGTTCCTGCTGGACGTATAGCCGCCGACAACGGTCTCGGCTCACGTCCGCCATGCATGATATGTGGGCAGTCGCTGACGTCTGCACTACCAGGCGAAAGCCCTGTCTAATTCTGAGGTGCCTTCTCCACGTATTTGATGAAGCCGGTTGATGCGTTGCAGGTTACTTGGTATCGACCCTTCACAACTTATCAACAGTGTCATCACAATGAGTATCCAGCGAGATAGAGTGAACTATGCCAGAGCTGTGAGAGGGGTCAAAGAGCACAGTGTTGTGACTTACATTGGAGTAGAGTTATCCGTATTCTCATGCGGGACTTGGATTGAGGATGTGCTGGACATGAAGCTCTACCCTACTGCCATGGTTGACTGCTTCTCAGGCGACATATCGTGGACTAGCTCGACATGCACAATAGCCAAGGGCGAGGGTAGCTTCGGGACATTTGCGCAAAATATCGCAGTGCCAGTATCGGTAGCGATGAAGGGCTTTGTAGAGAAACTCATGGGTATCTACGACTCCGCTCCGCCTACCACGTCTACTACGCCTACCGCGTGAGCCATGCGAACCACGCGCGAACTATGCAGGAGTAGAAATAAAAGAACTGCACTGTGTGGTGATTGTTTTGCTGCATTTTGAATTATAATCAGTCCTGTATGGTGTTTGACTACAACTCTATATGCTTCCATTGACTCTGCGGCTTGCATATACACAATCGCCGATGTCAAACCATTCGAGAAGTCCGCTTACAGGATTTACCACATCCTTTCTTGTTTATGAGGACACTATGATGGCATAAATTACTTTGACGGGGCCGGCTAAATAACAACTACTACCACGGTAAAGCCCGAAACTGGTTGTGCGATTCGTCACGACATTTACTACCCTGTTTCCCGCTTTCATGGTTATGATGGGAGTACATCTTTGACTGCGCTGTCGATATCCTGCACCCTTACACAAAGCAAGGTATTCGGAAATTCTTTCCTCGAAGTGAAGTCAATATCCGCACCTTTGATTGCGCTGAAAAGGATTGCGACTGCGCGTGTGCCTGTTCTGGAGTAGTCACCGCGTTCATCTGTTGATGCACCGTTGTCAGCTCGGAATCCGTGGAGACGTCCCGTACCGACCATGCCACACCCGCCTGCTTTTCCAAAGAGCGCACAGTATTATTTTGGATCTCCCGGTGACAGAGTTCATGCCCCTCATGAGTCTGTTGACAGCTCCTGGGGTGGCGCGGAGGGTAAGGCCTGAGCAACGGTTCACATTGAAAGCGCCTTTTCAGGGCAGACTCTGTGTTTCTACACTTGTCTGTTAATTCAACAAGGATGCTACATTTGATAGCCTCTGCGAGCTAAAATAGATGACGCGGCTTATTCGCCCAGAGCGTTGGCCAGCGAGGAGGCATAAGGCAGGCAGGGTTACAAGCTAGGCACGGAGGTGCCCAAAAAAACACGGCCGCTTATTATGTAGAACTAGTGACTTGTTGTAATCTCTACCTTTTATTATTTTCTTGTCTTTCCCTAATTATTCTTTATTTTTCTTGTTCTTTCTTGTTCTTTCTTGTTCTCCTTATCCCTACTAGGTCCTTTATTTTCCCTCTTCTTCCTGTTTACTCTCTGTCTTTTTCTAATAACTGACAGCCTCGCCGCTGGCGTCTTTTTCTACTGAACGGCGCTGTGCTAGGGAACGGTGCTCTGGAGTAATCCGATTTGTAGAAGTAAGACACTTCGTCGTATTGCTGTTTCTATAATTAAAACCAGCTTAGCCAATACCCTGCAACCGAGGGTATTCGAAACGAACCATTGAGCTCAGCCCACGCTACAGTCGACCTGCGAGTCCACTAGAGGAGCCGGTTCAGGCATCTAAAGACGCTGCGCCACAATTCTTCAGCACGCTAGCCGCCTGTAGCCACTCACAAAAGGCCCCTACAGGAGGTCAAGTTCCCTCAACATGCACTAAACCGTCCCCTGAAAGCCGCAGCAACCCCAGCCGCCGTTGCCAAGTTTCGAGGCGCGTCATCGTGGCTGACAACTGAGGAGCAGCCCTCTCGGCCTTGTTCTCTTGCTGCCACCTCTTCTTTGTACCACGAAGCTTTTGCTGCCCGGCTGCCATTCCACCTCGCATCACTCCACGCTCCCTTTGTCTGCTACTCTTACGGCCCGGAAACCCGGTACCCGACGTGACCTGTGCGCCGGAGCTTCCATCGCCGACGCATTGAGCTTGCGCCTCCCGCTTCGCGCCTCCAAACGCCCCCAACTGGTTGGCGCCGCTCGCCGTTTCGACAGCCCAAACCCGTTGTCCTGTAACAACTCGAGTGTTTGTCTCGCGGCGACGAGGACCATCCACTCTGCGCTCGCTGTCCCGATAAATATTCCGACTTTCGCAGAGCCCCTGCGAGTTTTTTTTTTCGGTACAGCGGCTCACCCCGCAGCGGCCAAACACGACGCCAACAATGTCGTCCGACTTTCGCGGGTCAGGCGACGACGCCTTGCCTGCTCCTCCGGGACAGCCTCAGCAATTGAATTCCAGCGCTGTCGCAGGCAAGGTCTCGGAGGACAGCACCAACAAACCAATTACCTCTGAAATGGACAAGCAAGAAGGCGTCGACGGCGACTCTGACGACGACAAGAGCGACGACGGCGACGCACCCGACAGCGCCGCTGCAGACGGAGCTCCTCCCCCTCCTGACGCTTCTAATCCAAGCCCAGCCGAAGCTGCGCTGATGAAGCAGGTCAATGCAGTTCTCTCATCCGAGGTAATGCCATTACCCGCGCTGTGCGAGGCGAATGAGCTACTAATCATCCACAGATTGGTATAGCCACCCTGTTGAACCGTCTCAAGCAGAGTGTTACTTCTGCCAAGGTAAAACACACCGCAATTGTTTGAGCAACGCATCAACTGACTTCATCGAAGGAATTTGCGACCTTCCTCAAAAAGCGCGCCATTCTCGAGGACGACCACGCTCAGAGCTTGAAGAAGCTCTGCCGCTCGACCCAGGACAATATGCGACGAGCGGACCACCGCACAGGCAGCTTTGCCCAATCCTATGACGAGATGATGTATATCCATGACCGCATGGCCGAGAACGGTATCCAATTTGCAGCCTCGCTCCACCAAATGTACGAGGAGCTGAACGAGCTGGCTATCAACTCGGAGCGCAGCCGGAAGACTTGGAAGACCGATGGTCTGTCCGCCGAGCAAAAAGTTGCCGACCTCGAACAGACCATGCGCAAGAGCAAAGCCAAGTACGATTCGCTTGCTGAAGAGTATGACAGAGCTAGAACCGGCGAGGGCCGACAGGGTGGAAAGGTTCTCGGCGCTTTCAAGGCGCACAAGTCGGCCGCGCAGCAGGAGGAAGACTTGCTCAAGAAGGCCCAAAATGCCGACCAGACGTATTATAGCCACGTCCAGACGCTGCAGTCGGAAAAATCCCAGCTCGAGTCGTCGCACCGCCCAAGGGCTATCAAGGCTCTCCAGGATTTGGTGTCCGAGACTGACTCTGCCACCACACTGCAGATGCAGAAATTTGGTAAGTCTCGACCTGATATAACTTAAAGGCACAAACCCTAACATAATCTAGCTGCTTTCAA